TTCCCTACAGCAGCAATGCTGAATTTAAACAGAAGAGGGCATTCATTACCAAGCATCTGAGTTTGCTGAGTCTCCGTTTCTAAAGGGAAGGCATTTGAAAACGGTAATTTTTTTTTAACATTAATAAAGGTTCACTATCAAAAAATAAATCTTCTCTAGACATCATGTATCAAGAGAAGTATAAATAATTACAAACTAAAACCTGTCCAGTAAATGTTTGAGGTGCCCTTAAGCAGCACTATCCCAAATGCTGACAAAACCCTGAAAAATCAGGAGAGTTTGAACAGCATGCTAATCTTTTCAACAGCCAGACTTCTAAAACTCTTGTGAGCTGCTAAAGAGACTGCAATGGGGAGAGCTGGATCAGAAGCTGATGCAAGACTGATGAGATCTGGGTGCTGTTCCTGACTGCCATTTGTGAGCTTGGGCAAGATAATCTGGTGTGTGTGTGTGCTTGTTTCTTAATAGTAGGGTTAAATGTTAACAAATCCATAAGCATGAAAAACATGACAGGTTTGCAGGTTATATTGCAGGACACAGATACTAGGCCACCAATAGAAAAGCTAGCCAGTCAGTATGAGTAATGCCCTTCAGACATTTTCATATTTTTTTCTTACTCAGAGAAGATTGAATTTTTTTCTGCATATACCAGGTTTTTTCATGCTGTTCCATTGACACTGCTTGCAGTGCTTGTATGAAGACACCTTCTCTCTCACAAATTCCTATTTGTGAAAGAAATTATATAAAGTATGTTGCTAGACCACAGATGAAAGTGTAAGTGCCTCAGTTAGAAGGGAGCGCCCTCTGCAACCTCCCTGTGCAGCTTCGAAAGTTGTATTCCCATTTCCATATTTTACTTTCTCCCCAGCAATAGCTGTGCTCTATCAGTAGGCTTAGTCTGCTGTCCCTTGCATGAAGGGAGCTGACACGTTGACCTTAGCAATGGAGCTTTGGTATTCACTGGCAATACATGGAATATAATTTACAACACCGAGGGTATGCCTTGAATGTGTTAGGTTATGTGCAAATACAGAGACAAACTGCTAACCTGGAGTGCTGGTGAAGATCATCTGCTTTGGTCTGCACGTGTCCACGTGGACACAGCCAAAGTAACCTGACCACTAAGACAGCTGAGAAATTCTTTGTTATCAAGCTTCCCGACTTCCCTCTCTTGCTGAAGTTAGGCACACAAATTGTTCTGATTTCAAGGCACTTTGTAACCCCTAGATAAAAAAAGGGTTGTAGAAAGCAGTGGACTAATTTAGAAATGTTCTTTCTGCACTTCCATCTTTCTAAAACTGCTGTATAGCATGCTGGCAGATAGACGGCTCTGCATCAGGTTTATCTGACTGATCAGTAAGTCTCAGCCAGCTGCAGGATCACCATCTGCAATCTTCAGAGCCCAGTGAGATCCTAAAGGCTGCAACTTCTTCCTGCTAGCTCTGCTAACACGACATGAGTAACCAGACAGGAGAGGAATAATGATGCTCTTGGTATGCACTATCCCAGACAGTTTCAAATGGGCACTGTGCTTTAAAAAATGTATTTTATTATTTAAATTATTCTATAAGCAAAGCAACATGCTTCGCCATTTCCTCATGATGATGTGGGGCATACAGAACAGCTGAATATGCAATTGCTGTTTAATTCAAGGTCCAGACAGTGTCATTAAACATATTTTGTTGCAGAGCAAAATTACTTCAACAGCAAATGGCATTTGTCTCACTTGTGAAAATGCAACTTACAATATTATTATTATGGATGTTGCTTCTTTTTTGTTGTTGTAGGTGTTAATTTAGCTATATAATTAAGGGTCTGTCAGTATTTTCATTAAAATTTTTCATTCCTCAGGATGTGTAAGTCAGCCTTAAAATTAAAGCTTAACGGGTGAGTCTTCTCTTCATGAGCCAAGTAGCACTATAACTACATAGCTACCTAAAAATGGAAAAAGAAAGGAAAAAGGAAGGAAAAACAGAAGATCATGTTTATAGGTTCTCAGAATCATCACAGTAACATCGACCTATGAATGGACAGAAGGCCTATAAAGACCAAAATATATATTCACCTACATGAATGAGATTAATGATCGTTTTCCCAGATTAGTAACTACTAAACTGGTAAATCTCTGTATTAACGTATGAACAGATTGCTTCAAATGTAAGCAATAATGTGAGTAGTTGTACCAGATTGCTGCTACTTAACTGGTAGCTTCAGCCATCTCCCTGTTTATGAGGTACTAATGACTTCAGAGTTTATTAGAGCAAAATAATATGCTTTTGTAGCCAGCTTTCCCAAGTATATTTTCACACTATGGGGCAACTGTGGTTCTCGTGCCTCCTGTCCTCCATGCACACAAGCTGAAGTTTCAGGGTTCGAACTGCAAACCGGGCGCCTTGGCGGCCTTGCACTTTGCTCAGCGGCAAGTCCTCCCTTTCGGTGACAGGAGCTGAAAGAAGAAACCCGCGATTAGCAACCAGCACTCGATTACGCCCCAGTGCGTGGCACAGCATGAGGTAATTCAGCTAGTGAGGGAAACAAGAAGCCCACTAAAGCTAGGCGGCGGGCGGGGCCAGCGGCGGGTAGGCCGCGTCGCCACGGCAACGACGCCTTAAGGCGGGAGGGCGGGCTAATGGCGGCCGCTGCCGCCATGGCACACGTTAACCCCGTGGTGAGGGAAGGTGGCGAGGCCGGCTCGGGTCTCGACTCCGCGGCACATAGTCGGGCTTGGGGGCTGCGAACGGCCCGGCAGGGTCTGGCCGCCCCTCTGTGCGGGAGGGAGGGGATGGGGGTTGGGCGAGGGCCGGGAAAATCGCTTCCCTCTCCTTGGGCCCAGCTGGAGGTGGTACCGCCCCGTGCAGTCCCCGGCAGGAGCCACTCGTCTTTTCCTGGCGCGGGAAGCGCAGGGGTGACTTCGAAAGTCGTCATTTTTGGGATGATTCGTTAAAAAAAAAGGCGTTTTGTGGGCGAAATCCTGTCAGGGATTTGTGTGTGCTACTGGGTAGCCCCAGGGTGTGGAGGGATGCTGTGTATGGTTAGTGACACCAGGGGGAAAAGATGGCGGCTTTTACTCCTATTTAGGTTTCATCTGCTACTGCCTTTCCTTATGTGGGACTTAAAATAGTCCTTCAGATGACAGTAATTCTAGGGAGGCCCTGGAGACTTAACTTTAAGACTTGCTTTGCTGGAATGGGGTGTTGATTCGTCCCTCCCTGCCACCCCATGGTATGGTAGAAAACGAGTGAGTTTGTTCCTGGTGCTGGCTGTTCCTGGTCTGGATGGGCTTGTTCTGGCAAAGGAGTGCCTGTGTGCAAAGGGATAAAACGAGTATAGTAATCTGTGCACTGTAACCATTTTTCTCTAATTTGGAAGCATGTAATGCTTGAATTTTACCACTGCTATGTACAGGTTTTATATAGCATAATAAATATTTGTACTTACTGTAAAACACTACTTAATGCAACATAGTTTGGCAGGCCTGGGGAGAGGAATAGGCTTGTTGAATGATTTGAATTCAGTTTCCCTTCTGGATTAACCAGGCAAAGGATTTGTCTTACAGGCTAGTCAACATCTTTTAGTATAGTGGTACAAGAGTAAATTTTTTTTTTTTTCCTCATCTTAGTAGCCTGAAATGTGCTGCGGAAGTTCTTGGAGATCTCTAACCTCCCATAAGAAATCATACATGTGTATGATTATTTTAAAGGAGTGCTATACTGTGCTGAAAGCTTTTTGCAAAAAGTGTAACTTGTTACTCCTTAATAACTTGTCATGTTTTTTAAAAAACAAATTGTTTTTTGTTTGCAGTTTATAACAAATTCAAAGCAGTAAACTATTAACCTGATGTTAAGTTAGAAAAATGTAAATTAATATCCTCAAATCTTAACTTCTGGGGTTTCCCAGAAATCTCAGCTTCATCTTTCACCTTATGTATGCTGTTCCGGTGGTAATGATAATCAAGATTAATAAGATTTAAATTGCTAAAATCTTATTATCTTACATTTGCATCTGAATGGATGAATCTTGCAGTTTGAGTCTGTTGTCCAGGTCTGACTGAAGGATTAGAATTTAATCACTAACATGGGCAGATTGTAATACAAGATGAATGATATTTATTAATAAACTGTAGTGTTAACATTTCCATAGCTAAACTACTATACAACATGAGATTATTACCACAAAGAAGAAAAAAAAAAACCTCTGTTATTTCTTGCATATTACTTACATTATGCTTCTGATAGAATTGGCACATCTCATTTTTAGTAGCTTGTATTGTGGGTTGGCCTTTAAGTTAGGGGTGATGACACTAGAATGATACTAAACAGTAAATGTCAGTTTTAAACTAACATTTTAGACATGCCTGTGTGACAATACAGCACAGCAATTGTTTTTATAATGTTTCTAGGATTTTCTTCAGCTTTTCTGTAGCCTGCAGAAACCAATAATTTGACACCTGAGCCTATCCCTTTCCAGAGATATCTGTTCCCAGGAATGTTGGATTGAAAAGAAAGACTGGACTTGTAGACCTTTGCACCTGAGAGAGTATTCAGTCTATTGCAATTATCGTGTATTTCAGTTAGTGTGTAATTTGTGCTGTTCAGTTTGTAACAGTAGTTTTATGCAGAAAGATTAGGTTTTGTGCTGTCCTTTCAAATGACTTAAGGTTCATCTTAACTTGAAAATATTTTGTTTTATTTAGCCAAAACTATACAGGGACATTATTGAAGATGTGATTGAAGGTGTGCGGGAACTCTTTGCAGAAGAGGGTTTAGATGAACAGGTTCTGAAAGACTTGAAGCAGGTTTGTTGGGTTCCCCTGCATTAATAGAAGTTGTGTATTGTTTTTCTCTTTAGATGATGTACCTGTCAGTTTCTTTGCCCTCCAAAACTCGCATACTTTTGCTCTAACTTAGAATTATAAATATCTTGCAAATGATGTGTTGGGCTGCTGGAAGTAAAAACTCAGTAGTGATTTTTACCGTGTTTATTGGATAGAATCAGTCAGTTTACCCTTGGAAAAACTAGGAATACCCGATTAACATTTTAGATGTGGTTTATTTTTAAAGCTGATATTTGTTTACCTTAATAATAATCTTTCAACAGCTTTGGGAAACCAAGGTAATGCAGTCTAAAGCAACAGAAGGCTTCTTCAGACATAGCCACCGTTCTTCACAGCTTGCCCTGCAGTTGCCGAACAATTTTCACCGTGTTCTGCAGGCTTCAGCAGGTCAGATGTTGTTGAACACAGTAGATGCAGTTTAACAATAGCTCAGTGATTCAAGAATCTTTCTGGAAGACTTGAAGATGCTGCTATTTTGGTTTGCGATGCTTACATATATATTTAGTATGATGGGGAACAGTATTTATTAGAAAGCAGAATTTGACTAATAAAGGACGAATTAAACATTGATAAACTAATGCAGTTACGTCTGTGTGCTCTTGATCTGCTGCTTATTTCCTGTGACAAAATGTGAAGAGAATTTTAACCGCTTTGCCTGCAGTCCAGAAGTGTAGCCCTTCAATTGCAAATTTACCAGTGGGGTTAAACTTTCACTTTCCTTTTCAATGTGTGGCATGATGTCAGCTGAGGTTATATGGCATGTTTGTGCCGTGCAGCTCGCTCGTCATGTTGGAGTTTAATCTAGTTTGGCGCTTGCTAAAATACAGAAACTCCCTTGCTCAAGCAGAAGTGTGGGAGTCTTCTGGTTTTGTTTTGGGGTTTTTTTTGTTTTCTTTTGTGTTTTTCCCAGGTAGTTTTCCCAAAAGCACTATTCCTGTTGCAGAGAAGCACTTGACTTTCACACAGACTCTGACATCAGTCCCTATTCCTCTCAATTAAGTCCAGCTGATCACTGTGGTAATGTTGTGTTTGAGTATAATGCTCAGCTGAGGCTTCCAGTGTGAGAAGCCATTAGGACCTTTCCCCACAAAGGACAAAAGAACATAAGATGATTTAATTAAAATCTGAGTTGTAGTGAACCTCAAGTTTGGGCAGGCACTCTTCATCTGTTTTTTTAACAGTTTTCGTAGTTGAATGAACTGGTTTTGGATACATGTTTAATTTATTCCATGTTGTTAAAGGGAATATACTTTTGAGTTTGTTTGTTACTGGAGGCTTTATATTTAATGAGCTTCTCCTTGTTACTCATACTTTTTAGAAGGTTATAATAATGCAAAACAATCTGTGGAAGCTAGTGAATTACTGTTTTTTTAAAAAATGTGATTTGAATTGTCCTGTTGCTAGAGATTTTCAAAGTTGTTAGGGCTACCTAAATTGTCTGCTTGTTGTAGCTTGTGAAAGTTTTGCCTTTGGCTTATCTTCTCACACTGAAGTCAGTATTGAGTATTGAGTGCTTTTGAAAATCCCACCCTACTGTTCTCGCTATTAGCACTGTTGGATTTTTTCTGGTGCAGAAAAAATACTTGCACATTTTCATCATGTTAAGGCAGTACATTTACATGTACGTTCCTGGTCATGTCTCAAATGGTAGCATCGCACATGTATGCTTCTAGTTAATGTAATAAATAGAAATGGCATGCTTAATTTTTACAGTGCAACATAAACAGTTCAAATTGTTTAAAAAATATTTCTATTTAGCTAACAAACAAAGGTAAAAAAAACCAGCCTGTAGCAGAATTTAAGTTTTATAAATTCAGGGTATAACCTCTCCCCCTCTCCCCTTCCTCAAGTACAGCATAAGATTGAAGCAACATAAAGGGAAGTATATTCAAGAGATTTACCTAAATGTGATCACTTGTTTATTGATCTAATGAGTATGAACTGAAGTTAGATTCCTTTAGTTTCGGCAGTGCTTGCTGTAAATTACTGAAAGATCAACTGTGTCTGAGAAATTACAGGTTTTTGTCAAGTGGCTTTTTTTTTTTTCTTTCTTTTAATAGCTTCCTTATTCATCCCAACTGGCAAGGATTTCCAGCATTTCATGGCAGGACACCAGGTATGTAGCTGCAGTGTCATTTTATTCCTTTTTTATTATTCTGAATTCTAAATTATTAAGTTTGTTAGTTGTTAACAGGCTTAAGGGGATGCAAGTATTAAGTTTTTGCCATGTGTAGATGCTTTAGGACAGCATTTAGGGACTGAAAAAGTATCATTTGTTATGACAATGTAATCTGTTCAATATGGTAAAATAGCCAAGGGAGGAGGAGTGATGCTGAGAAAGAATCAACAGCTGAAGAAACTTGGTGTTACTTCTAGCCTTTTTTTTTATGAAAGCCATACAAAAGTTAAGAGTCTGCAGAGAGAGAACTCGAATTCTTCTGCTTTTGTTTGAGCAGTGAAAAATAATGGGGATCTACCAGTTGGTTTTGGAAGCATTGGCCAGAAGTGTGTTGGAAGACATGGCTGCATGTATTTAGCCCATAGGATGGAAGTGTAGTGGAAATGTTCTGTTAACAAAACAGGAATGTGATAACTGGAAAATAAGAAACACTTAGAACAAGTAATTATCCTGTTAATACAGAATACATTTTTATATGTATGAATCTCAAAAGTTTGAAGTAACTCTTCAGTAAAGATGGTCACAAAAATGCGCTCATTCACGCTTCATCTGGATATGGTAGTGTGTCATTTTGGGCCCTAGGAGATGTACTATGCACTGTTGCTATTACTATGCACTTTATAGTATGTGCTATTTCTTAAAGCTCTTGTGTATCTAGGGTGCTTCAGGAGCAGGCACAACTCTTGCCCTCCCTATGGGTATCGCTTATCCTGTACCAGTATCAGCTGGAGTGGCACTACAAACAGCATCTGGTAAGATTAAAGAGGAGATGTAAAATGTTACAGTGCGTTGACTGTACATGGATTTTGAAAGATGGTCCTGAGTACAGTAGGTAAAAGTGAAGTTAACTGCCTCTACCCAGCTATACTTTATACTCCTCTTCCTTTGTAGTTTGTATTTGTAATTGCTGCATGGGGGAAGTAATTACATTGATTCATTAGTGTATCAGCTCTTACACTTGCAATATCAGTTAACATGGGCTGCCAGGTGATGCCATTTTTGTTTTACAACTGTTCGCAAATCTGTTCCTTTGTCAGCCCAGACATGGGTAGAGGTAAAGACATTTTGGTGCTTCAGATTCAAAGTGATTTCTTATTGAAATAAAATCCAACCATCCATTGACTTTTTTTGGTCACACTCTTTTGCTGTTAAAACTGCCTATACTGCTTATACAAAAATGTGCTTGTACTGCTTCGGGTGTGATGAGTAGAAGGCTTATTTCAGTCATAGATTGACTCTTTTCTCAAAGAGCTGTTTTTTGATGAGAACTAATTTTTGATGTCACTAGATACTCATTTCAGGTATAATTCCTAAGATTTTGAAACCAAAAAGGGGTATTAAATGATGGTCTGGATGGAAACTCTGGCTCAGAAAGCCTCTGGACTCTTTAATTTTCAAAGGCTGAAATTGTGCTTGGAGAAAGTACTGCTTTGTAAACATCCTGTTTCTCATTGTTTGCCTGAGTGTTTGCTATTGGCTGTTAGTGGTAACAGGACAGTGGCCTGAATGAACCTCTAGTTTAACCTACTGAAGCAGTTTTTAACTCTTCTCTTTGTAGGGCAACTTTATAAGATAAATGTGCCTGTTATGGTTACACAAACTGCGGGAGATGCCAGTATACTACTACATCATCCTGTTCAGCAGCTGTTCCAGCCCCGTGGGCAGCCTTTGGTTCTGCAAGGCAGCACTGCCAGTGTTGCACAGGCGCGTGCATCTTCTGCTGAGGCAGCTGCTGAAACATTGCAACCCCGGGAGGCTGCTGGCCAACAGACCATGGCATTTCAACCAAATAGCATGGAAAAAAAATATTTGGAGGACTCTACCACCACTACATTGGTCCAGCAGCCTTCTGTGATTCTGCAGCAGCTTGCAGCTAGTGCAGTGTTGAATCAGCACGCAGACTCAACAGAAAAAACCCAGCATGGCAATCTTAACACAGCTGTGTTTACTCCAGAATCCTCTAAAGGGTTTTCTTCTGCTGAATCCATGGCAAACAACTCAAGCAGTGTACTGCTGGATGTGGAGGGGCAGTTAGACATTGAGCCTCAGGAGCTGGAGCAACAGCTGGTGTCTGATGATATCATTGACCTGATTATCACGGGCAAAAGTTTGGATGATAGTGCTGGTCTGAAAGATGAGGACAGCATTGCTTCCTGTGGCAAGGTAAGACACATGCATTTCTCAGCAGATGAAAATACATCCATTGGAGATGGTTGCTTGAAGTATCATTAGAGATGTGATCAAACACAGCTGTTAAGTGACAAGTAGCATGTCTAAATAATAATAATAATTATTATAATTTAAAGTTAGTTCTTGAGCTGGTTTTGAATATTAGTAGCTGACTGCTTATTTTTACATTAAGAACTTGTCTCAAATATTGCTGAAACACTAGAATTGAAGAGAATGTCAACCTAAAAAGTACTAAAAGTGTAATGGATAGATAAAATGTATTCTTAGATTTATTGGCTATTTTGGAGCATATTAGTGGAGTTTTTTTGCTTGGTTGGGTTTTTTTTGGTGACTGAGCAGACATGAATGGCTCTTTGAGACCTTCCATGTTTTTCTGAGACTGAATCTGGCACTGGCCATTTGTGGGCAAATTGCTTTTGCAGTGTCAGCTGAGATTAGTTTTAACTTTTAATGAGTGAAGATCATTTAACAGGCATTGAGAATGCATATTGAGTATGAAAAGTCAGATTGGATAAGTGAAAATCTGCTGGAAGTACATGCATTTTCTTGGGAAAAAATCCTGAACAAACTGGAGTTCAGCTAGAGCTCTATGGAAAATTGGAATTATTTTAATTAACAGGCCACTTACTTGACCTCATCTAATCTTTGTTCCAGAAATTATTTGGAGATGTTTTAAGTTTAGGCTGCCTTGCCGACTTTGAGTTGTAGTGCTTATATGTGATTGAGGCAAATTTATTAAATCAAAATTTAATGACAGTAATGACAAATGATTAAATACAAAGCATGTAATGTTGCCTATCTGAAGTCAGGTAGCAGTATGATGAAGACTGTCTATAGTAAGAATGGAGGATCAAGACAAAGTGTTATTTTCTTGAACTAGAAAGTGAATGTGGATTTGAATTAAGTGCTACAATAAAGATTCAATGAGAAACTGAAGACAGCTGAAACCTTAAAGCCCTTTTATGCTCCTGTGAACACTATTGAGGAATTCTAGCACTTTTATGAACAGTAACTTGAAGTACTGAAATATTTACTGTCTCTCAGCTTTTTGTATCTTATTTAAACAAGGCATTTTGATTGAGGAAGAGAGATGAGTTCATCTTTTATTTCAAAAATGAAAAATGCTAATTTTGGGGGCGGAGGAGTAGCTCATTTCCTTTTATTTGTTTTTGTTTTGTTTTTGGTTTTTTTTGAGTTTGCTTTGCCATAGAACTTCTAAAGGCCTGGTCAGTTTGTCTTTATCTTAGAAAATTGTTTGAGTGCTGTTGTGATTTAGGGCTGGGCTGACCACTAAATCCTGGACAGATGCCCTCTATTAACCCCTCTCCCCTCCCCAGAAAGGGGAAGAGAAAGAGAATAAGGGAGAGAGACTTACGGGTTGGAAAAGAAACCAGGACAAGTACAGTAACGTTTAAAGAAAAGTAAGAGAATGTCTTTCTATGTTGCTGAAAAATATTTGGCATGGATTCCATTTAAGGTTAGGTGTAAGAACAAGATTTGCAAATGTACTCAGGGTTCTCAAATAGGCTAGGACTCGAAATTTGGATTTTAGTGCCCCAATCTTGTTGCTTTATTAAACAAAAATCTCAGGCTTTGTACTGAACAATGAAAGCTATGTGGTGTTAATTCACAAGCTGTCTCTGGTCTCTTTTATTCCTGTCAGATGGAACCTACTGAGCAGATGGAATCTAATTTACCATCAGGGAAGGACATCTGCAGTGACATTAAAGGCATAATTCAGCTAGATGGTACTGGTGATCTTTCTCCCAAGGAAGAAACACCACATACAAAAGATGAGGAAGAGAATGAATTCATTGGCATTATTGAATCAGAGGATCTAAAAGTTTTGGAGAATGAGGAAGATGATGAAGAAGAATGTGGTAGTATTTCAAGCACGGAATCTAGCAGCAGTGGTAATGATAATGTAGAGCCCCAAATAGATACAGTTGAGGAGGTAATTTACTTTTAAGCCTTGTAAAGCACATTACAATAGTGTATTTATTTTGACTGTTGAAATGTTTTGACTCAGAACAATCACATTAAGTTTAATGCAGAGAATGCATAGTCAAGTTACATGCCTCTTGAGATAGGAGGTACTGGTGAGAAATTACTCGAGAGCTCATTGAGTAGCGGGAACAAATGAAAGAGATGTTGAGAAGGCACTTTTTTATTGGATGAATTAAAATACTTTTAATTACCAGAATTGGAGTTCTGTGGTAAAACCCTGGCCTCAGTGGAATGGAGTTCTGCTTTTTATTTAAGTAAGATAGAGATAAAAATCTAGGTTTCTTTTCCTTCTGAGGGACCACAGGGGATTAGACAGAGAAGAGAAGAATGTGATCCAAGTATGTGTGTTTCCTAGGAAAAGGCTTTTCTTAAAGATCTTATTGTTCTATGCGCATTTAATGTCAAGTGTGTTCAATTCTGAAAGAATGTTTAAAATACAATTTTAATCTCTAGGACCCCTTAAATTCTGGTGATGATGTCAGTGAACAGGACACTCCAGACTCGTTTGACACTGACAATGTGATAGTTTGTCAGTATGACAAGGTACAATATATAGTTTTATCTTTGTTCTTTAATAATTCTAAATAATATCTTCAGCAATTTCATGTCTGGTCTACTGTCAGTGTCTATTGAGGAAAATCTAATGCTCCAGTAATTGAGTGTTTAAATTACATGTTTAGCTGACAGTAGTCTGAAGACTTACCTGCTGTTTTCTGACATGAGGATAATCAACGGGTTCTTATTAAAGGAAAAGTGACCACATCTTGCAAAATTAAGATTTTTAAAGCTGCAAAAGCTTATGCATTTCATTAACTTTTAAGTAACATCAACAGCTCCATGGATGTATGCATGCATTTTCAGCCATGAATTAAGACTTTTAAAATGGGCAACAGAAAGAGGAATGTGTGTACTTTCTTTTACATTTTTTGTCTTTGAAGTGCTTACAGACAGATTTTCCTACCACAATTCTGTTGTGTCTGAAAAACAAAACAGTTGTTAAGGGCCATTTTGTCCTCCATCTTTTTAAAGTTCAACCTTATTTTGAACTCTTGAAGATCAAATTAAGTACTTCCAACTCTGATTTGGTTTTAGACACTCATATATCAGTAGTTTAAAAGATGACAAAACAAGATGCAATTTTATTTTGAAACAAATATGGAAAAATATAGTTTGCTTAAGAATGTACCTTGGTTTTTCTTCTTTCAGAAGTGACTGGTGGTAATTTTTTCGTCTGTGTTCAACTGGCCTGCCTTAATGGCGCCTGTGATTTAGGTGACAGTGAGCTGCTAAGAAAATTGTCTGCACTAAAGTGCTTTACTAACAGAGTGTTTCTGAAACTAGTTATTTTGGAAAATGTAGTTATAGGGATGTCCGTAGAAAACTTACCTGAAATTATACCACAGTGCCTGTATTGTATTGAAAAGACACACAAAGTTTTGGAGCTTCATAACTCAGTTTGATGTTACAGATGCTGTAGGTATTGGATATTGTTATCTACAGCAAGCTTTGTCTGTAACAAGCTGAAAAAAATAGCTGAAAATTTTAAGAAATTGATAGGAAGTTCAGCATTGGACATGTCTCAGGAAATTTATGATCAGATGTTAATTAGAAATTAACAGTTACAGAAGTTGGGCGAAGATGTTGATAACTTCCCCATTTCCTACATAGATTTAATAAAACATGTATGTCTACTAGAAATTAGATGGAAACAGTTATCTATTAAATTACCTTGCTACCTATAAAAGAATGCTGTCAGCAAAATGAATGTCCTGTTTCTTTGGGTTTTTTTTCCCCTCCGTTTTCCTTCTGGATTTGAAAACAGACTGAAGCTTAAAATCCATGGAATTTTCTAGAGATATTTAAAATTCCTTCTTTTAGTATTAATTGAAAACTTTTTGCAGTATAGATTGTTTTGTAAGCCTTTAAAAAGAAACACAATATGAAAATTCTTCCTTTTTGTATGTCAGTATTTGCTTTTGAGCAAAATGTTCCTGTTTTTAGCCTTATCCTAACATCTCTCTGCATGCAATATTGCATTGCAATGCGTTTAGGAAAAGAAAACCACTGCATTTTGTTTAAGCCATACTTGCAAGGTGCAGTATATTTTGGGACTGATACACTAATGAAATTGTTCCATTATCGCCATGTTTTCCTGCTGTTTTTTTAGGGGGCTGTGGAGGGGGGGTGTATGTGTGCTAAGATTCCAGAGGTTGTTCCCTTGAGAGGGCAGGGAATTCATTATAAACAACTGAAAACTGCTGCTTCTATTGATTATTTGTGCTGTGTTCAGTGCAAGTGTTTCACATGTTTTGGGCTATCAAGATTTTAAAAGAAAAATTTTGTAAACCAAGTTGTGCTTAAGCCGCCATTTTTTAAAATGGATGGTCTAATGTATATTTTTTGGGGGGGGGATTGATTTATTTCTTTTATCAGATACATCGAATTAAGAACAAATGGAAGTTTTACTTAAAAGATGGAGTGATGTCCTTTAATGGTAAAGACCATGTTTTTGCAAAAGCCATTGGAGATGCGGAGTGGTGAAACCTCGCTGAAGTATGTACTTTAAGACTGGCGTTATTCCCTTATGAACCTTCTGTGGAACAACTAGACTTTCTGTTGTTTTGCCTTAAAGAAACAAAACCAAACCAAACCTCAGTGACAAGGCTTTGATAAAAATATGCAAAATGTGTTGTTAATACATGCAAATTAAAACACTGTATTGTTAGTTACTCAGCTCTCTTTACTGTTCTTTTCTGATTGTTTTGTTACTTTTCCACCCAAGAAATATCATTAGAATGAATAATTTTAAAGATTGAAATGTTGGATCTGTTAGTAATTCAAGAAAGTAGTGGAATACTAAGTGACTATATTTAAGCAAATTTCAGTTCTGTTGGTTTTTGTTGGACTTTTTAAAATAAGAGCTAAAGTGTGGCCTGAAATGTAAAACTACACAGTTGTTGGTGATATTATTTCTTTTCAAAGGCTGCTGAGTTTAAAAAAAGAGAAGGGGGGGAAAAAAAGAGCAAGCAACACTAGTGCAAGTCTGAAACTTGTGGCTATTTCAGCTATGTACTTCTCTCTCCCCTTTCCTTCCTCTTCCTTGCTTTTATTGTTGTTGTCTTGTTTGTAGGTTTTTGGCTTCTGCTTAAAGGCAGACAGTTTAGATGTAAGTCAGGAAATGTAGGTGGAAGACCCTTGAGTTCTCAATATATGAGAATTATTATTGTTTATTCTATACTATCTACTGAGATGCAATGAATAGTGCGATTTAACATTAAAATGTGATTTATTTTCACTGTCAATGCAAAAGTCATTTAAGTTTGATTCTGTATATATCTACTACATTCTAGGACTACAGACCTGCAAGCTGTGAATGATAAAAATTGTTCATAATAATAAAATGTCATCTCAAATACATTTCTAGGAGAGTGTTGTTTTTGTGTTCTCTAAATATAAACTTTGCTTAGAGAAATGTATACAAGCCATGCATGTGACATGCTATGAGAACTGCATTCCCAGCAGTCTTCAACATTTGCCTTTCGTTTGTTCCTCTAGAAATGGAGGTCAGAAGGAAGTTCTGTGTCCATAGCTGTGGGCCTTCGCCCTTCAGAGCTGCCACTTTCCCCTGGGTAGCTCCTGTTCCTTGTAGGGCAATATTGGGAACTAAGTCGTAAAGCCTCAGCCAGGCGGTCTCAGATCAGGATAATCCTGCTGGAAGAGCAGTGGTACATGCAAGGATATGGCACCCCTCCCTCCTGGCTGCTGCTTTTAAATCTGCTGAAAGAAGCCTTTGTGAAACATTTTGGTTATCTCTACTCCCTGGGAGGACTCGGAGGCGTTGAGAAGAGAAGGAAAAGAAAGGGAAGAGTTGGAGAAAAGGAACGTATAGAAGAAATAAACAGTAAAGATATTCCCCTCGGGAGGCAGGTTTTTAACAACTATTGAATTTCTTGCGTGCTTTTTTTTTTACCTATCTGCTGCTGTCCAGTATTGAAGACAGGACACCAAACTAGAAGGACTGACCTGAGTGTGGCATTTCTTATGTTTTTTACAGATACTGTTGCTGGGATGTGAAGAATTGTGTATTCAGAGACAGTTATATCGTTTCTTTTTCCCCATTCAGCTGACTTGTATCTTCACTGATGCTACACTTCAGACCCATAAATGCACAGGGAAGGCAGCTCTTGCCCCATGATAGGTGCTTTTAGATTTCAGCACACTCGCACAGGAGTTCATGCTCCATAAATGTATATGTTATGAGCTATGGGACCATCTTCAACTTGGGCAGCATAGTGGTGCTTCAGAAAAGATTGAAAGCAGATCTAGGGTGGGACAGGAATCCATGGAATCTGACTGGATATGCACCAATCGCTAAGCACCATGTTGGTCTCTGAATATTACTTCTGAGAACAAGATCTGTTTTCACTGGTCAACGAAGTGGCTAAAGACCATCTAATTTTTAGCTACTTGTAAAGTAGGACAACTTTTTCCACTGCTGCAGCTTTCTGCTTGTGGCATTAAAGAGTGCTTCTACATGAAGCTGAGGAGTTGGAGCTTTGAGCATCCTTATGACTGCCCATTTCCTCTCTCCCTGTTCCTTTTCAGACCTTGTTCCTTTGTGAATGGGTGCTGAGATGTGTGGGATAAAAGTACTAGAGTAAGAATTCACCCCTTGCCCCCATCTCTCCTAAGCTTTACCAGTTCATACTTACTACATACCTTCTAGCTGTTCACTTCATCTGCCTGTTTATTCCATTCTTGAAACACTACTTATGTTTTGATGTTTTGCAAGTTAATTTTTATGACAGCTTGCTGCAACATCTGTGCAGTTTATGATATTGATAATGTAGACTGCACATTTGGGATTGGAAGTATTTTTTAACACTGGTCTCCTAATTCCCAAACTTCTTGTAAGTTTCACAGGTTGAGCATTGGTGATATTTTTCTCTTTTGCTTTTTCACAAATCCCATGTACTATCAGCAATTAAAATATCAAAGGACTGTTTGCCACCTTTCCTCCTGAAGCTTTGCTGATAGTATACATAGCTGGCTGTTACTCCTAGTCAAAGCTGACTTGCATCAGAAGGGAGGCTGAAAAGGTCTTAGCAACACCCTTAGGCATCCCCTGGGTTTTCATTTAGTTGCGCTTTCTAACCTCGATATGAAACAACCTTGATGTGGGGTCCATGCAGTGCCTTCCTCAGCTATCAAATACAGAAGCATTAGGGATTAGAGTTTTGCTCTTGCTATCTCAGGCTTTTCTATATTTGAGAAAATGGTTACTGAATTCGTAACCCTGCAGATTTTCTGGATCCCTCCAAACTACACTGCAGATAGTGCTTGGGAGTGCTGGCAGTGGTTTTCCCAGCTCGGAGCTATGGACAGTCTATCTGGACTCCTGCAGTAGGACTCGTGTTCATTTTCTTCCATCTAAACATACAAGAATTGCCCTACATTTTCATTCTAGTGTTCTTGAATGAGTATTGGCAAAGACTCACAGCTTTGAATATCACATCTGCAACTAAAAATATCTGAAGTCAGGAATTTTTATACTGGAAAAAAATGTTTCTTATTAAAATGTAAGCTCAGTTAGCTAATTACTGTAGCCTATGACTTGAGCAGTAATCAGATCAGAATGTTTTTTATATGAATAGTTTACTGTATTAATGCTTTTGATTGCTACTACATACAGTTTAGGAAACACATTGCTGCAGATGCAATGGGAAGAGGTGTATAATAAGTTACAGCCATTGAAGATACCTCAGGAAAGGGCTATCTAAAACTTGACACCAGAAAGAAGGTAAGTTTACCAGAAATAGAGATAAAACAACAAGTGTAACTTGCATGAGAAGCTTTAGCATGACTCTACATCTTTATTCAAGTGTGGCTTTTACTTATTTACTCACTTTTGTGTGTAGAAAAAATTGAAATATATAATTTACTTCTGTTGTTTGTGGTCTGTTTTTTTTTCTTAGGGTGTTTTTTTGTTTGGATGTGGGTTTTTTGTTTGTTTGGTTGGTTTTTTTTAAACCTGCAATTATATTCTGAAGGGTAGATTTCACTCACAGCAGGTACAAAAAGAAAAATGCCCACAGCTCTCATACTTCTTTGCTGTTCTTTGCTTTGCTTCTAAGCAGCATTGTAAAGCAAGTACTATCAGTTGTCACCATTTCTCTTGCATGTAGTACTGCTGTGCTTACATACAGAGCTTTTATACTGATGGAAATCAGCATTAAGCTGAAGGTAAGAGTGGGTCAGAGATGCTATTTCTAATTAACACAATTATAAGCTAATAAACCAGTTGCTAGTACAAAGAATCACTTTCATTAATGTGAAGCAAATTTAATTTCCAGTGCAGTAGTTTGACAATGAGAGGTGTGCTTTGGAACACATTTTTACTCTTTCTGCGACAGACTTGAAAGCAGGACTCAGGTGGGAAGGAAAACAGAAGAGGTTTAAAGTGATTGCAGTAATAACATTTTCTTATGTATCAGAGTCTGCACTTTTGGTGGCTATCAAGAACTGTTACGCTGTGACTGTTCTGGAGTGAGCACAGATTTTAAACAGCTGCACTGCTCTGCTGACTGCAGAGGAGGTGTATATTATACCAGCTGAGGATATCTCTTCAGATACTGTGAGTGTAATCTACAGAATGTGATCTGAGATGTTAAAAGATGCTAAAACTTTATGCTGTGAGCCATGTGTCACATGTAGGTCTCATGCTACTGTATTGGTTTGACGAAATGTAAGCACTCGTGTGTTCCTCATATCAGAGACAAGGTAACCAACCTGTCAAGAATAAGACGTCTGCAACTTTTGCATCTGTTTTTGCCCACAGGACTGAACTTTCCAATAACTAATCTCCTAATTTTCAGAAGACAAGGCAGTGCAGAACACGACCTCCTTAGGACATGCCATGGATCCTGCCTGGCATTCAACACAATCTGCAGCTTGTCACTCAGTATAGGTTGTTTGGCCCATATGATGCAGGTAAGAGCTTATACATCTGAATCTCTAGCTTCGATACAGTGTGATGTTGGCTTACGCAAAGTGAACTGTGTAAGGGTGACAGCTTATTTGCCATGGACAGAGTAAATATGCTGCAGTAACAAAGGAATACTCAGTTCTTCCTTAAATGAGGAATAGAGCCACAAATACAGCCTTTTTACAAGGGCAGGTAGCGATAGGAGGAGAAGGAATGGTTTTAAACTGGAAGAGATTAGATTTAGACTAGATATTGGGAAGAAATTCTTTACTGTGAGGGTGGTGAGACACTGGCACAGGTTGCCCAGGGAAGCTGTGGATGCCCCCTCCCTGGAAGTGTTCAGGGCCAGGTTGGACAGGGCTTTGGGCAACCTGGTCTGGTTTGAGGTGTCCCTGCCCATGGCAGGGGGGTTAGACTGGATGATCTTTAAGGTCCCTTCCAACCTAAACCATTCTATGATACTATGAAATGGGGATCTCCTTTGCACCAGGCAATGCATGCTGAAAGATAGATTTTTTTAATGGGAAGCCACAGTCGCTAAAAAGCAACTACTCTGCTTCATCAGCTGGGAATGGGGTTGGTCTGTGAGTCCTGAGGGGTCCCCAGTGTATCCTGAATGCCAGCGGCACTGGTGATGCCGGAGAGCAGGCAGATGAAAATAATATGTTTGACTGTCCCTGAAGAGAAAACAAGACTGTGCCTATTTGCCTGTGCTGGCAGCAGCTATCCTGCTGCTGAGAGGGAGCCTTTACAGCTTACGTAATTCATATGTGCGTACGTATGACATACAAAATACAGTTCTGTGTGCAGCAGCTGGGGTTTTACAGTTATTGCATCTCTTGTGATTTCCAGATTATACATGGTTGTGTATGGGTTAGTTTTTAAAAGTAAATTACCTACCAGCTCAGTCTGAGATCTAATGTAAGCTGCAAGATTGCTAATAGTAATCTGCAAGATTGCTAATAAGAAAACTTCAGCAGGTCAGCTCTTCTCCTTGGTGACATCTTTGCAACCTACTGCTTGAACGCTGTTCTTTAACTGGGTGTGGGTGGCTGTGTAATTGGACTTTTCTGTTGATGAAATGTAAGGATGCATCTAGTTTAGTGCCCCTTTCTTTAATGCAATAATGCCAGCACAGCTGATAGGAACAGAAAAAGAAGGCATGAAAGGTCGCAGACAGGCTTTAAATACCCCGGGGAAGCAGATCTGGAGAAAAAGGAGCCAGACTGGTGTCATTGTAGTACCTGTTAACTGCAAGAGCACCTTGGCTACTCCTGGGCTCTCCTGGTTTCCCCTGAAGAAGAGTTTTGCCTAATAGTCACCTTCCATGCCTGTTGTTACAAAAGAAGAAAATGGAAAATATCACTTTGAATGTCAGAACAGTTAGGCTGCATAAGAATTATCAGTTGGCATTTTTATTTATTATGAAATGTTCAAGATATTATAAAATAATCCCTAGTCACTAGAATAGTTACAGCTGGCCTTGCGAAGTGCTGCATCTGTTTGTGCTCCAGTTTAATTTTCATTGTAAGACACCTTGTCTCGTGCTGCAGGAGATGGCTTCTCTAATGCCGACAACAGTAACAGCGCATGTGAAGTTTTGCTGGGAGCTGTGGCTGCGCTGCCATTCTTGCAGTTGGAGGCATAAGCAGAGAAATAGTTCATCCTGTAAAGTTCTGCTTGGCTTTTACAGCAACCAAGCTTGCTCATCAGCAGAAAGAAATCCCTTCGAAAGGCTTTGGTGAAAATTGCATAGAGAAATGGGTTTGCACAGGAGTTGACAGGGTAAAATAAAACCAGCAAGATCTTGGAGTTTGTCACTGTGATGAGAGGTACTTTAAAGGCAGCAGATATGGCAAAAAAGGAGATGGGGGCCATGCAGGTAAAATCCGTGAAGATCAGTATCGCCATTCTCTTGGCGATCTTGGTATCTTTATTGGCAGCTACCAGCTCTGGATTCTGAACAGCTATGTAAATCTTAATGTAGCAAGCACAAATGACAAGGAAGGCAACAACATTTAGCACTAAGATCAGCAGTATATAGGCCTGGGAAAGACCCGTTTCAATATCCATGGGTAAACAAATGCTGACCTTCATGTAACTGCTGACCCCTAGGAGAGGCAGCACCGCTATTAAAATGGAGAATATCCAGCCACCGAGCATGATGGGCACAGCATGCCTCAGGCGGAGCTTTCGATCCAGCTGCATGGCGTAGGTGATTGTATGCCACCTTTCTACAGTGATCACTGTTAGCGTGTACACCGAGAGCTCGCTTGCAAAGACAGTGAAAAAGCCGGCAGTGCTGCAGCCGCTGCCTGTTTGCCAGTCTATTGCATGGTTGTAGTACTGACCACTTGTTTGGGCGTCAACAGAGGCAATGAGCAGCAGATAAAGTCCCATGCAAAAATCTGCAAAGGAGAGGTTGCACATGAGGAAGCGCGGAACAGTGAGCTTGTAATGGCTAGTTATGAGAACGAGGAGTACAGTGAAATTGCCAGCAATGGCAAGGATGTTTATAAACCAGATCAGGACTCTGAGAAAGCTGTATCCCAGGATGTCTTCGCAGGGATTAAATGCATCTGGTTCTGGAGTGCACGTGAGTATCTTAGGCTGGCAGAAGTCGTACTCAAAGTCGAAGCCAGTCATTTCACTGTCATCGAAAAAGGCTGAGTAGCTGTAAGGAGAGTTTTCTTCATCTGTTGCGAACAGGTATGTATTCTTTTCTGCTGACCACAGTGATGCGTTGTAAGCGTCATCTCTGTAACTATTAAAAAAACAAGCCCCACAAATACAAGTAAACTGTTACATGCTTGCACTCTTTTGTAAAATACAACAGATAACGGTTGTTTTAAAACAGTTACTTCCTAGATGTGTTTCTACAGAGTGTTTACATATAATGAAGCCTTGTAAGGATGCCTTTTGTTTGGGTAGCAGCCTTGGAGAGCAGAGGAGGTCATAGTCACAACCACAGGAATGCTTTCTTATACATCTTACTTGTAAGTACTTCATCCTGATTGCTTTGTAAGCAAGCCATCTTTCTCATGCTGCCAGTAGACTGCAGTTCAAACTACAGTAACACTTGAATTGATGGATTATAGGTTGGATGCATATAGGTTTATCAGACAGTTATAGAAGCCAAACTAAAATAACCTAAGGATCTTAACTGTGCACCCTTGCCTCCCTTGGGAAACACACTTACTGAACAAAGTCCTGAGAATACATATGACTTAGGAAGTGCTGAGGAATTTGATGTTTGCAGTATTATACAATGAGGAGTAGAAGTGCATGGTTAACTAGATAATGTCAATGGCTAGGAATATATTAAGTTTAGACTGGAACCAATGCCTAGTTCTAAATGTTTGTAGATGTTTAAAATAGATCTCTCTCATCTCCAGGTCATCAGTAGTGTTGGGATAACGCCTGTCAAAGAAGAAACATCTTAAAAACGAGCACTGATCCCTTCTGATTCCATGCCAAAACAGATAGCTATTTCACAACTATCCAATGATCCCAAGTGTGAGTGTTTGGTGGGCAAACACTCAGTCTGCAGTAAGAGACCTGGAAAGGATCTTTATTGAGGACATCTCTTCAGAAAATTGGTAGCTTTGGGATAACTTAAATATATGCTTAAACTTCCACATCTATTGAGGCACGTACATTCAAATATTTTTCTGGAGCAGGTAATTCACTAGCAAATGAAGCTGAGCTGCTTTTCAGATATTCCTGTTGTTCTCAGTCTTGTTATCCTAACTCTTCTCTCCTTACATGAAAAACTGACCATGGTCTTGCTTTTACTTGCCTGGTTTAAACTGGAAGAGCAGGGAATATGTTTGACTCTATTTGCTAATAGAATAATGATTTTCTGTGAGGTCATGCTAACATGCTGCCATGCGCAAGCTGTTTTTTCTTTCTTATAAGAGCTCAGGGTTTTCAGCTGATTTCTGCTGCGCTTCCCAAACTTTTCAACTTTCAGCCTTTCAGCCCATGAGTAAAGACCTTACTTCCATTTGCTTAATATAATGTCTGCTCAGAGAATTGCTGGGATTGGCACTTAACAAAGCAACAAGCTTCAGGAGCCAATAAACTGGGCAGAGGATTTAATGCACAGTAGGAGTGCAACAGATGCTAATCCAAAGCAGAGGGATTACTCTGGGATAGGCACTGGTGATCATATTCCTCACTGGGGTGTAACTTCACTTGCCTATAACATGATCTAATCCTCTCTCTTTACCTCCTTGCCTCACCTTGCTTCTTCCCACAGCCACCCCTGACAGAAGAGGATACACACACACACACACACACACACACACATATATATAAAATTATTGTTCTTGTTGGCTGCCTGGACTTTGCCTTTCTGTAGTTCTGAAGTGCTTCAGTTTTGCAGTTAGGAGTGGAGTGGATAGGACTGACTAAGTGAGGCACTCAAAGATGCTGCAGACAGGCATCAAATGAGAAGTGGTGACAAGAGAATCAAGGCAGCTGTTGCTTTACAAGAGGTCAAATTAAACTAAACAGCAAGGGTAGGAGGCCTCACCAACCAGCAAATGAGATAATGTCCAAGGAAGTGATCCTAATGGATCAATCACATTGCAGCTGTAGTTAGCTGTAGGACTTTTGTGACCATAACCTTGCTTTTCTAGACTTTGCAGTGCTCTGATGCCACTTCAGGGCTAAAGAGAAATCCCAAGGTCACCCATTTAACTGTAGAGGGATGGGTAGTTGCAAATCCTTAAACTTCTCCATTAAATACTGGTTTAGAGCCTGTCTTATGCAGCATGGCCAACACAACAGTTCTGATGTTAGTCTTTCTCATTGTCCCACTGGATAAATGGAACTGTGATGACACGGAAAGACACATTTACAAGACATAAACTAATTACACAGGGTAATCACACTTGTAATTCAGGGACTCTATTTTTACTGTGGAAAACTACTGATGTACAGACTTCAAATTATCTTTTATATAGGCAAAAAATATTAACAGTCGCAGCTCTTCTTTGAATCACACACAACTACCTCCACGTAGGCCAGTAACTTTCTTACATATTTAATCCCTGGTTTGAAAGTCTTTCAAGAATTCAGAAGAGAAGCTGGAGTGAGTAAAGCTCATGAAATTGTGTTTTTTTTCTTTCTTTCTTTCTTTCCTTTTGAACATCAAAATAACAAATATTGGTTTAATGATAGTAAAATTACCACTGTGCGACTTGTAAGGGTGACTGAATTGGCAGAAAAAGACATGCTGTTCTAGGGGAAAAAACCCACGTGAACAGCAGGAGGGAGGAGGGTTCATATTTGCTACTTCCTGCATTCATATGCAGAGAGGTACTTACAATATTTCATTAGTTGGTTTCCTCATGGTGCTCTCACACTCTTTGGAGAAGTTGTCAAAAATGGAAAGCAAGGAATTTTGTCTGAAAGAAGGATGAAAAGAAAGTTGAGTTACAGTCTGGATTTTGGCCAAATTCTCGTATTCTCTGCAAATGATCTTTACAGACACATAAGGTAAGCTAGAGTTGGCCTCAGAGCAGTGTGAACATTCATGTAGACCTCTGGAAGGAGAGAAGAGAAGGCTTCAAATACTGCAGCAGTAGGCAGTACCTCATAGGGTGCATAAGGGTGGTCTTTCAGTTTGGTTATTGTTTATGATGTATTTTTTATAATGACATTAGTTGAGCTGGAGTTAAAAGGTATGTTTAGCCTTATGAAATATTGTAGCAGTTATGCTGGCTTTTAGAGAAGTGCATGCTAACAAATACTGGGAAGTTGGCCTGATTCTCTGCTTTAAAAACTATTTGGGAACTGGAGGTAGGCTTTCCTTTACTTCCAGCATATAATTTTAAATGTGCAAGCTGAAAGACAACGTATTTGGCGAAATCTCTGGTTTCAAGGCTTTGGAAGTTTGGGCCAGGGCACTCTACCAAATGGCTTTGTCTGACCTTATTGCTGTGACAGTAGAAAGAGTTGTCAAAACCACTAAGCTCTTTTGTGTACTCCTAAGAGAATCCGACCCCTGGAAGCTTATGAGAGAAATAAGACTTTAAAGTATCAATCTAAGCCCCACTGTGATACTTATGAATAATGGGATGGCAACAGAAACTGTTTTTTTCTTGTAATATTTTTAAGATGTGGCATTACCTGCTTTTAATTTTTTTTCCCCTACATTCAGGCTAGTGGAAGAAAGTCTTGGGAACTGAATGCTCCCTTCCACCTCTCTTACACAGTTTCAGGAATAAGCACACCTCTGTTGTACCTCAGAAATCTCAAGAATATTTGGTTTGAAAACTTTATTTCCCTAATGTCTGTGAACCTGCTTCCTCAGTCAAATGTATGTAAGACCTTGTCACTGTATCTCGCTGATCAGATATTGCAGCCCATAGGTGGTAAGGAATAGGATATGGGGCAGGGGTAGTGAAAACTGGGTGGAATGACTGTATGTAGAGTACAGGGCAACAGAGGAGACAGAAACAGGCTGCAGCTGCATGACCATGAGAGTACATAACCACACAAAGACTCTTCTCTATGTAACCTGGGAAGGTCTTGGGAGGTCTCCGCCTCCATGTTCTTCTGCTGTCATCAGTAGATGACAAGGAAAACAGCCAGAGATCTGCCTCTCATTCCTTTGTGGTCGCTACTCACATAGAAGATAACAGCTTATACAGGTTTTTCCAGCAGCCAGGGCAGTGCAGATAGGTAATGCATCAGCACTGCTCTGAACCCTGCTGATGTCCTAGTTAGGAGAGCAGTCTAGTTTCCTGATTCGCAGGGGTTTTTTTCCCCCAGTTTACTATGAAAATAAGTCACTAAATATAAGAAAGTGACTTACTAAAGCACCCCTGTGTTTATAGAGCATGATCATGTTGCAAAGTCAAGTACCTGAAAATTAATAAAATATCAGAAACCTAGTTCATTCATCAGAATGACTAAAACATTATTTTTTTTTTCTGTCCTAGAGTTGCTTCTGCCTTTAATACACTCAGAGACTTGATCTGGGACTGAATCAGAGTTTAGTAGCAATGGAAACCCTTGACTGCAGGATCTTTGCTCTACTCTTGCAGAAGCAGGAACCACTTACCAAAATGAGGTAGGCAGAGAAAGCATAGTATCGCCCTTAATTTTACCCTAAATAATTGGATTCTACTCCTGCCTTTGCAACACAGTCCTGATGCAATGGCATACAAGTCACACAGATCAGGCTTCCCATAGATGACTCAGTATGTCTTTTCTGTAGCCTTCATCTGAGACAGATGAGAAGTGAGGTATCTTTATGGCATCTACTAAACTCATTTGGAGTTGCTTTGGCTGCCTAAAACCAACCTAGGATTGATTTCTTTGAAACAAAAAGGCTGAAAAATTAGCTCCAGTTGTCTCAGATTGACTGCCCCAAATTAGCAGATGCAAAGTGCTCTATGCACCACAGTTTTCAATTGTCCATTGTTCTCTGATATGACTGAAACTAAACTGTGTAATCTCTTTGTGTAGACTTGGGTCAGGTCCTAATTTTGGTGGGTAATTGAAAGCCTGCCTTTTCTACTAGGTCATCATATCACCTGCATTAAATAAGCTACACAGCTGAAGCCTACAGGGTTTTTTTTTTATTTCTTCTTTATTTTAGGGCAAGATACTATTGATGGAGATCTATCTTCCATGTGTCCATGTGCCAGTAGGCTTTTTAATGGAGATACCAAGAAAAATATAAGCTTTAAGCAAACTTAGACTAATGTTCCTGCTGGCTGGAAGATCCTGGGTACAGGGTGGGATCCATTACTGTTCTAAAATAAATGGAGATAATTTTCCTGGCTTTAGCAGAGATCTTTAGTTTTGTGCAAGGCCTTGCTACATACCACAGCTTCCTTGTAACTGAAACAAGAATAATCAAACGTCGTGAACAGAATAAAGCAGAATTGCCATTTTGGAGCTTCTGAAGCAATACAATAACGTGCTATTCAGACTTACTTTTCTATCCTTAGATTTTGAAAAGCACAGCAGTGGCTGGGATATGTTAGAACAGCTTCCAGAAGACTGCTGAATTTATCCAGTGGTGGCAGTCTCTTTAATGAGTAAGATGACGTTGCATTTAAGACTTGAATAGCCTCAAGCCCGTAACTAGGCAGGGACTCCAGTGCCGTTGAAGAAATATCCCTGTGAAATAAAGAGAACTTTTCTTTTCATACGTATAAAAATACCACCAAAGCATGACGGTAGGTAACAGCAACTTTGTTTCTCACAAAAGTTTAAATCTGGAAAGCCACTTTAGCACATGATACCTAGCTGAGAAATGTGGTCTGTGAAACTACAGAGCAGTGGAGTAAGAGCACCCCCGCAGTCCAGGAGCCCCAGTGTGGCAAGAAGCTTGCTTTGTCCTGGAGAAATCAAAACCTACCGCACCAGGAGTTCTGCCCTGACCTCTCTGTTTAAAAGCCACTGTGCATGGAGCAAGGGATGGCTCTTTAGGCCAGGGAAAGGGAGGGAAAGTGGGTGAAAGTGACTCTCCAGTCAGCTTAACAGGTAGGACACCCTCCTGGCTCCCTTCCTGGCTCTGAAGGGCTCTTCTAGGTGTTTTAATTAAATGGTTACTAACTAAAATACATAAAAGAATCAGTCATTCTGGCCAGGACAAACTTAAGCAGTTTGGCTTAGAGTAACTTCAGAGGGGCTGTTTGTGCAAGGAAAGGCCATTGCCATGCCCAAGGGTTTTCAGTGTCAGGCCATTAAAGGGGGGGGAAAGATGGTAGGATTATTAAAGTGATATTAGTAATGTAATGTACTGTAAAGCACCAATAAAAAGAACAAAACGGCATGTGCAGCACATAGGACTATTTACTGAGCCACCCATTGTGTTTTATTACATGGAGATACAGCCAGTAAGTACTTGGTTAATAAAGCATGAGGAGGCTAATATGCTTTGTTCAGCACAGACTTGTAGCATGAAATCAAATAGTTCACTTTTATAACCAAATTCTAAAATAATATACTGTAAAAACATACTCATCCTACCAAAAGAACAAGTTACTTGTCAATGTCAGAATATAAGGCACAGGGATAGGATCAGGAGGTTCTGACACAAATAAAGCAAAGGCCAAAATATCTCGTGGGTGGAGGTCAATGCCAATGCTAGAACTGGCTGTTAAGCATTTGTCATGGTGCGAACTGAGCCTTCTGCTGTCTAATTTCATGGCATCTTGTTGACATGTTTCCATTTCACAAGTACAGGGTGAGAGATAAAGTCTCCTTCCAGACTCAAACCCGTGTTTGCTGAGATGACACAGCCCATGCTGCACAGCGCAGTTCCCATGGGACACCTATGAACTCGGGTAATGGAGCAGTGGATACTTACAGGACGTCCGGCCCTGTGGCCCCTCTCAGGGCATCGTTGTGTATCCGCCTAAGGTTCTTATTATCCTTCAGGATTCTGTGGAATCAAGCATTAACTCTTTATGTGTCTATTTTAAAAAAAACCTTTTCATTTTCTTCTTCCCATCTATTTTGTCTTGGTCTTTTCTCCCACCACAGCGGCTGTTCTTGCAATATCTGGCCTGGGAGTGCTTGTATTTCTCATGCAATCTTTCCGTCATGGGTGCCATCAGACCATGATAATTTCCAGTTTTTTCTGGCTTAAACCTGGAACAACCATTCTTGTTCCTTTGCTGCAGTAGCAGTACGCAGAAAAGCAGCAAGAGTTTTGCCCAAACTAAGAGGCTAGTCCTAGAGCATGTGAGAGTGATTTAAAAACTATTGACACTTCCAGCATAAAATCTAAGTTCCTGAGTTTAGGCTACAGTTTCAAGCTTTCCAATACTGCTGCTAAGTTTAGGAATTTATTACATTTTATTAAAAATTACAAGCTTGTATCATAAAAACTGTAGCATTCTAAGGGATGGTGTTTCAGGAAAAGCAGTAAATGCTGCAGGATTAACAACTGAGTTGTAATGACATTGAAACATGCAGTTTTCTAACTGTTTCTTCAACTGTTTTAAAAAAGAAAACCAAAACCCAGTGTGGAGGGGAAACATACTCACAATTGATTCAGCTTTGTCCCATTGAAGGCATGGCTGTGGATATCTTCAAATCCATTTTTATATAATTTTCTGGGGATTAAAAGAAACATGTAGGGGAAAAGATTTGGAAAAGACAAGATTATGTTCTGTATTACAGGTTTCAAATCTTAATGCTGCATTCATTTTAATGACTAGAGGGTCTGGCTTATACAGAACATAGGTAACTATTGCATGACTTCTGTTAACTCTAAAATTAAAATAGAAGTGCAGCTTAAATTCTTTAAGCACCTCCCTGTTTAGCTGCTGAAGAGAACTGCTTACATACAGATCCCCCCTGCTCCAAGTGAATCACCTGTGGCTACCTTGGGCTGAGATCCAGAAACAAGACATTAGTCCAGGTCAGCCCCTGGCATACAGACAACAACCTGGAGGCAGAAGACCTGGATCTTGTTCTATCAGTATGTGGAAATGGAAGACTCCAAGGGCTAGAGAAGTGTCAGATGGAAACCAACTCTAAAGCCCAGAGCAGGGTCAGCCTGATTGCAGATCCCCTGTGGACGGACAAATCTTCCAAAGGAGGCAGCTTTGCAGAGAGGCAGGGGTGAGTTGTGCATCATCATCAGTGATCAGTGAGCTATCAGCTCCTCCAAAATACTGCTGACAGGCTTGATTTGTGCTCTAGAAACTTGGCTGTCCCCTGGACGCTGGGTGCCACCCTGGGTTCTTGATTCCCAACCCTGAGGCCAAATACCTAAAGGCTGGGCTCTGCTGCACCTCAAGTTCAGCTCTTTTTCTTCATTAGATTTAACCTATGGGTTTGTTTTAATGGAGAAAAATCCATTTGTGATATTAACGTTTGTTTCCAATATAATTTCAATATACTAATTTGCATATAGTATTTTTTCTTTAATATGAAGCCGTAATGGAAAATTTGGTGCAGTTTATAAATTGAATAAAATTTCAATTGTTGTTTCACTTGTTTTTGGGAGAGCAGAAGCTGGGGTTATGAAACCTGCTCCCAAGGAGAGCTGGAAGTGTGGGGAGTGCCTGGCTACAGCTGATGTGAGAAGGGGTCGATCTCAGCACAGTGCTGAAAGTAATGATTTCCTTAAAGGCAACAACAATACGTAGGATTGATTTCCTCATCCGTGTGAAACATTAACCGTTGGAAAGGCTGTATTAGCTATTTGTAGTGGAAAGCATTACTGCAGGCTCACTTTACACCTTCAGAGATTACTTATGTTTCACTATGCTGCAACAACTGGAATTACTTCAGCTAATTACAGTTAACTGCATGAGGTGGAGTTAACATGTAGCTCTACAAGTAGGAAGCTGCTGATAAGGTAATTCTTTTCTTCTTGTGGTGAACTCCCTATCACAGAAGAATGGGAGAAAAATGATTGCTGGCTGTTTCCTGACTGAGTTGGACTCCTTCCCACTTAACACACATTGGGGTTACAGTAAAATTGTAAGCACCTTTCTTCATCTCTTATATGTTCATTTTCTTGCACCATTAACAGAATCATAATTTTGCTGAAATTATTTTGAGAACTTGCTGGTAGGAAAGAGGCTCATAAGATGAAATGATGCCCTAATCTAAGCAATTGCTCCTCTTAACATTATGTAGGAGCAGTCTTCAGTCATGTTTATGTTCAGTTCCTCTAATGGTTTCAGAAAGTATTGGTCAATACATAAAATCTGTGTCGAAATTACTGTCATGCTGGCACATCAGCCTGATGAAGGGCCCAATCCAGTCAACTGCAGTACTTGCTTGCATGCATAGCTCATTTCTGGGTGCAAATATACCGAGAGTTTTGTGTGTGGGTTTTGGTACAGACCTGTTTCAAGACAAGCCTCCCCATTTAGATGTGTACTGCTTTTTAAATATTGGTCTTGTCTGCCAAGGCTGTCTTTACTGGCATCCAAATTTGTTTTTATAGGTGCAACACAAAGTAGGTGGCCTGCTGCTGCCCTCTATTGCTCAGCTGGTCCTTTCTCGAGAGAGCTCAATTTCAGTCACATCCCTCAGAGAGGCTCAGTCTGTGATTTTTTCCTATTTCAGCACTTATTTGTAGAAGTTTCTGTAAGGACAAGGGTACTGCAAACCCCATACATGGTTCTTGCTGTGCTGGCAGATGACACCTCACATTGGCTTTCTGCTGCTTTTTGAGTTCCCCAGGTATGGCATCTCACTTAGGCTCAAGCCTACCTGTCTCACAGGTGACTGTAGCAATGAATCCACAGTTTGTTAAAGGGAAAGCCTTGGTGCAGACACTTGTGGGAATCATTGTAAGCTGAGTCAAGAGTCAGGGTAAGAGCATGCATTGGTACTTCATACCAATTTTCTCTCTCCCTTCCTCCTCTTCAGAGGGACCTTGTGCAGCTGAAGCTCAGCAGCGTTAGATCAGTAGTATCAGCCTGATCAGTCCCTGAAAGCACTAATTCAATAAACCTCACCCCTGAGGGAAAGGGATGGCTGGCTCACAGAATCACAGAATCACAGAACGT